CTCATATCTCAGTAGGCAGTAGAAGTCACATGGCTAAGACCAAAGTCAGGGGGCACAGAGGCAGGATGTGCCCGCAGCGAGGCACTAGCAAGGGTCTGATACAGGGAGAAGTGAATTTATGACATATGCCTTCTATGCCTTCTATTTTTAAGAGAACTTCATTTTTTAGAGCAATATTTAAAAATCTTATAAAAACTATAAAAAATAGGTTCATATGGAAGAATATCACTATTCATCTCTTTAAATGCCCACCTGAGGTTAAATTTAGAGCTGAGGAAGATCTAGAGCAAATGGTAATGGGAAATATGTGCCCATCTAATTTTTTTAGGTGTACTTAGAGCTGGCTGCAGGCCACACTTTCCCTCGATATTCCAGGCCTCTACCTCCTGCACTCTTTCTTCCTCTCAGGGGCAACCAGTCTCCTTTTATATCCTGGCATCTTCTCCCTCTCCATCAAAACCTAGTCTGCAGAGCATAAGTTACTAAAATCTAACTGCTTCCAGGAGCATTTGCATTTGGACAGGGGACAAAGAAGGGAAGATTCTATAATGGAGAAACATTAAGCAGTGAGTAGGGTGGAGAAGCGGAAAGGGGTAACCAAGTAAGTAGCCCAGTGATCTCAAAATCCTATCCTATTGGATGCTACATTTTTCCTGGACAAGCCTCATGCTTGGGTTTGTGGGCAATGGTATAGTTGCAGGAATAACTGGGAGCATGGCTTTAATTATATAAGTAGCAAAAATGATCCTATATGATAAAAGGCTAATATGCAAGTTGACCGAACGGCAGAATGACTGGTCACTATGACGCGCACCGACCACCAGGGGGCAGATGCTCAATGCAGGAGCTGCCCCCTGGTGGTCAGTGCACTCCCACAGGGGGAGCACTGCTCAGCCAGAAGCCGGGGTCATGGCTGGTGAGCACAGTGACAGTGGCTGGAGCCTCTCCCACCTCCGTGGCAGCACTAAGGATGTCCAACTGCCGGCTTAGGCCCCCGAGGGCTCCCAGACGGTGGGAGGGCACAGGCCAGGCTGAGGGACACCTCCCCCCCCCCCCTGCTGAGGGCATGAATTTCGTGCACTGGGCCTCTAATATTAAAATATGTGCCAAAAAAAATATGTGCCCTAACGAGTCCACTACATTTAATAACTTTTTATAGTATAATGGTTTTGATTCCAACCAAGTGTGTAGTTACTATCTTTGAAAAACAAGTGAGTAAATATAGCAAGCATCAGGCAGGAACTTTCTGAACTGTGTCAAGGTTAATAATAAGTAAAATGTTATAAGTAGAGACAGGACAGCAACAGCTGTGCAACATTCTTGGAAGCAGGGCTTTTGATAGCTTGAAGTCAGACAGTGAGCTCAGTTTTGCTGCTACTCTGGCTGAACAGAGAACCCTTATGATAATTATAAGGAAAACTACCTTTCTTTTATAAATTACAACTGTATTGCACTTGAAATCTGATGTCTGCAACTGGAAAATCAGGGGCATGTGGAGCAATGTTGGAAGAAGACTCAGATCAAACCTATGAGAATGTCCTGGCTGAGATTCAGTCCTTCGAGCTACCCATTGAAGCTACTTTAAGGTAGGGCTCCTATATAATTTATTGTTTCTTCCTTAGTGGCAATAAGGTAGTCTTATTCACTTCTTTTTACACGTTTCTCTATAACAGAATAAAAAATAGTTTTAAGAAATAGTTACAATTCTGTGTACACCTAATCTCAAAGTTTCCTTATCCTTAGAGAAATTACAATAAATAAGTAATCCACTTTTTTTTGGCATTATATTTGTTTCCTGATTCATCACAACAAGTTTAAAAAATAGAAGTGACTTTCAAGTGATCAAAAAGGGCCTCATACCATCTCCAAATAGATATTCCATCTCATTTCTATGAAGTTGCCATTGTTTTCTCTAAACTATTTCTTAGTGAAAAGGATGGAAAAAAATTAGACATGTCAATGAAACCAATTTATGTTTGGTGGATGTGAGTTGTAGAAAAAAATGCAGACTATTTATTTGTATTGTTTCTGATCAAGTATCTGGTGACCTCTCAGATATGTATTTTTTAATTTATACTTAAGACTTAAAAATAGCTTCTTTGGTAATATGGGGATTAATTTGCAGAGTTCAAGAACAGGATTTGAAATAATAGCAATGTTTCTTTGTGTTAGAAGGGCACCTTTTAACATTCAATTCTTTCTGCCTGTCTGCCTGTATCTATCTGTGTGAGAATGGGATGGCAATCACTGAATGTGAGAATGACAGTCAATAAATATTTGTTGACTAATATTTGTAGATTAAGTGAAAAGATTTTTTTTTTCAGGGGGTGTTGTCTCTTCATTCTCAGAAAGGTCCCAGGGCCAGGTGCTTTGAAATTCACTACAGTTTAAATCTGAATATATTTCTACCAAGTGTTCAAATTTGATTTTGCATTAAGTATATTTTGAATCTCTTCCAAAGGCCTAGGGTAGTGTTGTAGGCATGGGAGGCTTTGATATATATTGGTTGTTTCTTGGATTATCAATATGTAGGTCAGTTGCAAAATCCTTACAACTCCATTATAACTATTCTTTATACGTTTATTTTTTTGAGCATCATGTGGAGAAGGGCAAGTAATTTTAATGTCCTGATTCAAAGGTAGAAGAAACCAGAGTTTTTTACTAATGGGAAACTCAATTTTTTTTTCACATGGAACATATTTTATACTATACCAGCACCTTCTAAAACGTGTGCATTGCCTGATGGCTAGGTCAGAAGTCTAAAGAGAAACAAGAGTAGGGGGTGAAGGGAGCCTGCACGTGTGTTAGTTACTTTGGCCTCTGCTGCCATGGCTGCTTCAGAGCCTTGGCCTCAACCCCGGACCCTCTTCATCTCTCCCCTGGTCCCACACTCTGGCCAGTATCTACAGACTTCTTCCATCCCTGGAACTATCAGCCAGTCTTTCTCTGGCATTGGACCTGACTTCCTATAAGGTTCTTGAATCTGCTCTACCCTCTGTTCTTAGAGCAAATATCCCCAATCTTTACCTGGTTTTCCTAGAGAAAAAAAAATCAGTGTAGATCTACAGTCGCAACACTGTCCCAGCATCACCCTCAAGGGTAGAGACTGCTCACATATTTTTCCCAGGTGCTGCCCTGTCACCACCACCAGTGGACCTGGAGGGTCCACTGGTTTATTTATGTTGCCATAAAATACCCATTAAAGACATCACAGGCAGCTATAGCAATTGAATTGAGGAGGAACAGTCCAGGGTGGACAGTGGAACTGGATATTAGCCATACAGATGGTGAATGAATTTAAAAGGGAGAAATATGAAGAAAGGCCTACTACTAGTGCTTGCATTGTACTAGGATGGCTCTGCTTTGGTCATTCAAAATCTCCTGGCTGTCAGCCTGTTGGTAGGCTGAAACTCACTAGCAGGTGAGGTCTGGAGTTAGTTTTGCTGCCCTAATCCTTTTGCCCTGGGCATCATTGTTTTCATAGCGTTACCACGGTATGCTAATTTCCATTGGATTTTCTCATTTTCTTTAGGTTTTCTAATTTTTCACTCCAGTTCCTCCATTTGGCCTAGAGGCATTCAGCTCCTTATCAGGGCCTCCCTTTATGGGGCTGTCCCTGTAAGCTTCATGGCCGTTTGGAACTACACTAAAGAAAACTGTTAGTACCAGTTTCATTTAACATTACCAACTTCTTTGAATAAGGATGGTCAATAGGTCTCACCTAGCACACCAATTCCAATGCATTGGTAGTGGTTGTCTGAATCCCATGCTGAGAGTGATTCTGATAGATTAGTCATGGCAGCTATGGTATTAGGACAGGGCAGTAGCAGTGTTCATAATATGTATCAGATTTACCCTAGAACTTCCTGCTGCCAGGCCTCATCCATTTGACCTGCTTTCCAATGAATCCAGACCAACCTGGATGTAGCCATTATGCCACATGGGGTCCTGCAGGGGTATTGTTAGCTTCTTGGTTACAGGATGTTCCAAAACTACAGCATATCTAAACCAATTTGGGTTCAAAAGTTGCAGTGTGTCTTGTTGCTATAGCTGGGCCCATGATAAGCAAATCATGGACACATTGAAGGGCATGTGAAGTTAGTAGGAGGTAGAGAAAGGGGACACATCCAAAGAAAGCCCTGCAGATGGTGGGGAAAATAGGAGGAAAAGGGAATTGTACAGATGACGTACCGGAAGAAATTTTTGTAATTGTTTCATGATAACATGATTGTTTTACATTTGTATTCACAGACTCTCTCGGGCACTTTTCCAAAAGCTGACCGTGAAGTTTTACCAGTTTAAGGGCAAACAGGATATTGTTATTTCTTTGACTTTAATGTTTTTAGGAATGGAGATAACATACCTTTAGGAAATGACAGAAAACATTTATTTAAAAAAGAAAAAAGCAACCAACAACCTAAACTGTATACACAATAAAATTTTAGGATGACATACTAAAAAATATGACTGGTCAAATTCAACTGTAGATGTTCTACAATGCTCTTGCTCTTTATATCTTCAAACATGTAAGATTTCTATTAAATCATATTTCACTAAGTATATTGGTTAAGATCAAAGGCCTAGGTTTTATTAAGTTATTTGATTTGGGCCTTAGATTCTGAAACTCTGAAATGGGGATTATAATGAAACTAATCTCAAATGGTTAATGTATATGAAAAGCTTAGCACAGCACCTGCCTAGTATATAGTAAGTGGTTAATAAATATTAGCTCTCATTATTATGCCTAATTTACATCTGGGAAATATATTCCAGTATACTTTAATAAATATATCCTTTAGAATATTGATGTAAACAAGCACCCACAGCATTAAGCCAATGCAACTGCATAGGTCCCACAAAAATGAGCCAGCCCTGTCTGAGCTTAGCACAGAGCCTGCCACAAAGCAATCATTCAACAAAATGGTTGCTGAATAAACAGATCTGGGGCTAATTATATTTGAACTTCTCTGAGACTGGCTCATATTTAAGAGAAACTGAATTTATTTGGCTTCAATTTCAAATTTCCTTTTATTGTTCTCCACCGTGGGATCCAGATCTTCGTGGGACAACAGATTCCTGGATATAGTTTTACAGCAGGAGTCCTCCCAGGCCTGCCCTGGACTCTGCTGATACTCTCTTGCACTTGCAGAGTGTGGCCACTTGGTGTCACTGCACCAACAAGGCAGAAGCTGAGGAGTGCTGCTGTCAAGACATCCCCAAAGGGTGGCTAAAAGGCCGCAGAAAGGGTTAGCTTACTAGTATTAGCATTTTGGCACAGTTTTACAATTATACAATGAGGGCTCTGAAACCATTTAGGAAACATCTGAAGGATATTAGCAGTGTTGAGAAGCTGAAGATCAGGAAGTCAGCTACAGGGTTTCCAGGAATGGGGAAGGGAATCTTTCTGTAGAGTTGCACCCTACCTCATGAAACATGCGTTTGCAACATTGAGCTTAACGTCAGAAGTATCTGCATGTAGATCATTCATTTAACAGCTATTAGCGGGGCTGGGCAGTAAACAATACAGATGCTGTTTCTGTGCCTGGTCATGGAGACAGACCCGTGATTTATTTACATGTGCCTCAAAGGATAAGCGCTACTTCCAAGGACAACAAAGAGGTGCTTGAATTAGAAGCAAGATCTGGGAGGTTCACTAAAATGGATCAGGAACCAAGAGTCTAACCCAAAGACATGGACCCATTTCCTCCTCCACAATAGAAAACAAATTTCAGGCAGTTTCTACGAGTTGAGCATGCAGCAAAAATGAGGTTCAGGTTCAGAGAACCTTGACACAAAGTTAGGATATTTTGTTAATGATTTAAAAAAGAACATTTATGTGTTGGTTTTATTTTTATTTTATCAAGAGAAAGCTAAATTCTGGGCTTCCTGGTTTAATAATAAGTGCCTGATAATCCTAGTCTTCAGTGCTAATGTTGATTGAGCGCTGGGCTAAACATTACACATATATTACCTCCTTTAATCACTACACAGCTTGGTGCACCAAGAACTATTATTGTCCCTAATTCATATTTGAAGAAACGGAGGCTTACAAAAGTTAAGTAACTCTCCAAAGGCCCAACATCTAGTAAAAGATGAGTTGGAATTCCAACCCAAGCAGTTAAATGCCAGGGCAGCTGCCTTCTACAGCCTCCTTCTTAGGGAAGGGCTTTCCCAAGGTTGGTTATTAGTCTGAAGACAAGCGACTTCATGACTAAGAGTTAATTGGCAGGTGAAATCTTTAATTCACTGGTTAGTTTCATACTGGACACAGAATGTATCTCCTGCCCTGCCAGTCTTCCTGGTGTGTCTTTCCCCTGCCAGAGTCCTGAGGAGAGATTTGGGGTGGATCTCTGGAAGTCAGCACCTACTGCCTGAAAAAGAACTCAACATGCAGGTGCAATCTGCCTGTGTGTGCCCTCCTACTGTCCAACCTCCTCCGACCAGACTGATTAAGTCAGCTATTCCTCGGGTAAAACAACTTCGGAACATTCTTCTGGGCTCACTTTTTAACTAAAGAGAAAAACAGGAACTGGTTAATAGGTCCATCTTCTCCAACTCACTGCTGTGTGGCTTTGGACAAGTGACTTAATTTCTGTAAGTCTCAGTTACTTCAGATTGAATTGGAGATAGTAAAAGTACCAAACCCACAGGATTTAAATTAGATTTTAGTAAAACTAGTACTAACTTAATTACCAATTCAAGTAGCGAAGACTAAATTAAATAATATAAAGGTCTTAGGGCTTAGCAAATAGTGCTCAATAAATAGCTATTATGGCTTTTATTTTGGCCTATAGCTGAAATTCTTAATTTTAGAGTCTTTAGAAATGTATCACTTTAGAACAGGCTTTTTTTGGGGGGAACACATTTGTTATATCTATGTCCATGGTTAAAATTTACACAGTTATTTAGGATATTCAGCTTTAATCTTAGCAAAAATCTTCAGGTACTAACGGAACTGTCAGTAAAAGCTGCTTCAGAAGGAGAAGTGGTATATGGACTTCCTCCCTTCTTGAATTGCAGGGAAAATACTGCTGCTTATGGTGAGGCAATCTCTATGGGTAGGTGTTGAAACAGGCTAGGAGTGAGGAGTGCAGAGCAGGGCTGGCTTCCCACGACAGGGGCATCTGGAGCTGGATAGATGGTGGCAGAATTGGTGAAGAGAAGGGGGAGTGGTCTGGGTAATGAATGCCCAGGAAAGGAATGCCCTGTCAGGAGACAGGTGCCAAATAAGAAGCTGCCCCGTGCCATATGAACCCCTCTTCTCACCTTGCTTTCCTCTTCAGAGCCATGAATTTTGGCCGTGCACATCAACTTAGCTAGGATAGTCTGCCATTTCCTGCAGAGGCAACTGGCTTTCTATTCTCTTTATAGCAAGGCACAAAATTTGTCTTCATTTCTTGTGTTTCAGTTTCAATTTTCAAACAGTTTATTTTGCTCTCTCAAGAGCTGAACCTGCAATTCAGATGTGCTAACACCAGGCGATGGTGCCCCAGTAATTGGAAAGGCAATCAGCTAAGAAAAAAATTTGTTTTTTATTAAATAAAAATCAGTGGCAGGGAGGGCCAAAACATTGGGATAGAGGGATTTGGCTTGACCCAAGGGTAAAATTTTAAATAAGCAGAGGAATGGATGAAGTTGATATCTTCTGACAAAAGTCTTTAAATATTGTTTCTTGCATTGAAGCTCTTTATTAAAGTGGGCATCAGGGAATTTGAGGCAATATTTTCTATTAGTGCTATGGATTTCTATTAAGGTAACTGAATACAGCCACATTATATATTATATTTAATGTCAATGTGTAAAGAACAAGTTTGGCAGCCACATTATATGATATTATATTTAATGTCAATGTGTAAAGAACAAGTTTGAGGAAATTAACTTTTTACAATTTGATATTTGTTACCAATTACAGATTAGTCAAACTCTTGCCTTATGCTCAGACCTGTTTAGAATGCTCCTTTCCAACCCATCCTGACCTCTTTCCAACGGCTTCAGAGCTTCAGTATTGTCTGGTTTCAAAACCCTTCCAGCTTTCTCTTAGCTATGTGCAGAACTCTATGAGGAACTATAGGGAATTGCAAAATTAAAAAAAAAGTCTCCCTGAACGTAAGGACCTTAACATGGTGTGACTGTTGGTGAACTTGGGAAGAGATTTTTGTTTGTTTCTGCATATTCTTGCAGCTCAAAGAAAGTGGGATTTCTCAGAGATGATCTGACTTCTTCTGTGCCATCAAGACCATGGAAACAGGCTTGGGATGGGGTTTCTGGTACAATGAGTAGCTGGCAATAGTAGCGCTTCCTTGGTCTTCCAAGCCTGCATGTGCTGAGTCAGTGGTATTTTGGTTCCCTGGGTGCCAAGTGTACAAAAACAAAATTCCCAAATGTATGTTCTCAAAACAAGTGCAAACTCTTAAAATAGTTGTTGGTGGAATGGATAAATGTGCTAAATTGCATCTAGTGTCATTTACAGATGGGGAGACTGGAATATAAAGAGATTAGGTTCTTGCCCAAGGCCACCCCACTGTGAAGTGAGGTGAAGGTACAAGGAATTACATTGAGGATGCCTGTCTTTAGAGCTCATGCTTTTAACTATTATACAATATACCACCTCCCAGGATTTTTGTCGGGAGGAGGATGAGATAGGCTTCTAGGAAAAGCTCACTGACGGGGCTGCGTTACCCAGCTGGATAGTAAAGGGCTTCGTTGCCTCAAAGGGAAGTTCAGCGCCCTGGATTAATGGAGGCCAGAACACAGTTGTCCTTCAGGGCTAGGTGTGCACTCTTCCTGATTAAGCGTCCTCAGTCTCTGCTTTAGTCATGACCAACTGGTTTACTCAGCGTCCCACAAACGTCATTAAACAGGACTCTTAGACTCTAGCACCTTCGCGCAAGCCACCCTCCTCCCTTCTCCTGTCTCCGATGACCTCTCCTCTCAAAGACTTCCACCATCCTCATCCCAGCAACGGGGGGCACTCGGATTCAAGGACTTTGGCAGGAAATCAAGCATTGCCCCTGGGCCTCTCTTGCATCTTTGCCATCAAGTGTCACAGTTCTCCGTCATTCAATTTTCCTGGCGCTTATAATTTACTTCCAAGTTGAGTGGCCTCTGCCAACTTCCTGTGGGCAGGGACGTAAATCCAACCAGAGCGGCCGTCCTGGTCTCCGCTGGGATTTTCCCGGGTCATTCCTAAAATAAACATTATGCCCGAACACAGTTTTGCTTTTCATGAGTGCACGTTTTTCCCTCTTCTGACTCTCCACCGCCCAGAGCCCATCAGGTCTCCTGGTTAAACTTTTCCTGCAGGTTGAGGGTGACTATTTGCCGCAGCAGCGGGTCTGGCACACAGAGAACAAGGATATATGTTAACTGTGTTAAAGGCGGGCTGGTCACAGACCGCCACTGGGGCAGTGGCGAGGCTGAGCGCGAGGGCACCCGCCTCCCATCCTCGCCGTCAGCGCAGCCTCGTGGCCTGGGGAACCTG